GTGACCCCCTCTCTCCCATTATCTTTATAATTGTTGCCGAGATCCTCACCAAAAAACTCAATTTCCTCTACCAGTCTGGGAGAACCAGTGCTTATCAAACTTTATCTGCTATGCCTGTTATTTCCCATTTATCCTTCGCGGATGACTTGATTGTATTTTCCAATGCTGCGAAACCCCCCCTCACCTTACTGCATAATGTCATTACTGAGTATGAAACCTTTTCTGGGCAGCGTATTAGCAAAGAAAAAAGTTTTTACATAATATCCAAACATGCTAAAAACCATAATTTTAATATTGTAAATAATATTTTTCAAATCAAAAGAGGTTCTTTGCCATTTACTTATTTAGGGGCTCACATCCATTCAAGTAGATCCCTGAACTCCCACTTTGATCATATTCTTACTAAGTTTGACAGAAAACTTGCAAGGTGGAAAGATAAAGCTCCTTTTGATGGGTGGGAGGATGATCCTCATTAATCATGTTTTAAGTTCCCTGCCTAATTACCATATGGCAGTTTCACCTCTTCCGAAAGCTATTATTTATCAAATTGGGAGGAAACTCTTGAACTTCCTTTGGGATCGTAATGAGGATAACACGAGACATATCTGGCGAAGCTGAAATAAATGCTACTTTCCTACTTCTGAGAATGGGCTTGGGTTTAGAAATTTAATGCATATTCAAAAAGCCTTCTTAATTAAACTGTGGTGGAAAATCACTAACCAATAGGGTTTATGGGCCAAATGGTTCAACCTGTTGACCAACAACTCCCGGTCCATTATGTATAAATCTCTTGCCTCCGTTAGCCAGGTTTTTTTTATAGCAGATGCAGTATACAGGTGAATAAGGGTGAAAACTCCTTCTGGTACTCTAACTGGTGTAATATAGGTCCTCTATATTAATACCAAGATAATATTCCTTTATCTCTTAATGATATTTCTATCAAGGATGCTATGCCTGGTAATATCTTGAACCCCTCTGTTTGTCTCTATCTGCCTAGATATGTGATTGATGTTATTAATATTGTGCACATACACTTCACTGACCAGGACGATAGATACATTTGGCAACCGAACTCGGATGGTAGATTTAGCTTTAGTAGTGCCTATGATGTTTTACGACCCAAAACGAATGAGATCCCTACTGTTATGTTCATCTGAAACAGCAGCACTCCTAAGAAAATTTCCTTCTTCCTTTGGCGACTTCAAAATCACCTACTTCCGTTCCCTGACAAACTAAACCAAATTGGGATTCTTGGGCCCTTTAAATGCCCCTTATGTCCTAATCACGATTCCATTGACCATTTCTTTCTCCGGTGTAATTTCATCAGGAAAATCTGGAACCACTTTGAAACCTTGCTGAATTTTCGTCCCATGACCAATACTACCCTTAGTAACTACCTTACGCACTGGTACATGGATTTCTAAAGCCAAATCAAAGGTTTCAATTACATTCTTCCTAATACTATAACCTGGAACATTTGGAAGATCCGTAATAGCTATATCTATGATAACAAAAGGGCTCATTTGACTGAGGCTATAAATGTTATTAAAGCTGAAATTTTTGCCATGTCGGTTGCCAAACCGCTTACCAACAATGGTTTGACCAAGCCCTTTGATCACCATCCCTCCCAAAAAGAACAATAGACTGCCTCACATTAATTTTTGGACCAAACCTCCTACTTCTTACTACAAAATTAATGTAGCCTACCGGACAATTACCCCCGACCTTAATCGTGTTGCAGCTTTGATTCGGGATGAAACGGGCAAGTACATTGGTCATGTGACTTATTTGTCTACACACACTCACAATACTAATGATACTTATGATGCTATTCTCTATTTTATCCAGGTTCTGAAAAAAGCCAATTTCTTTAACTTTGTTCTGGAGGTGGATATAAAGGAAATCTATGAAGATATTGTGGGGATCACACTTCAACACTGGACAAATTGGTCTAGGATTCAGGCAACCAGGAAACAAATCAAGGAATGCAATTGGGCGATCAACCACATTCAACCCGGAGTTAATAGAGCAGCTGAATACTTGGCATATCGAAACACTTCGGTCAAAACCAACACCCATCATTTTAATCACTTTTGGAATCCTTAAATTTGATGCAATTAGTTACCCATATGCTTTGTAATTTTGTAGGCATTGGCTTGGCCCTCCTACTTATTGTACTCCTTTGTTTTAATAAATCGGTGGGGTGTTCCTGGCCCCCATCCCAAAACCCCTTGGGTTCTGGCATATTTCCAGGAAAAAAAGATCTACAATTTTTTTATTTAACCATCTCAAAAGATATTTTATTTCAATTTAAAGCAATAAATTTAATGAGTTTTTTTCCGAATTAATGCGAAATAATTAAGTATTTACCGAAATAATGCTGGTTTAAAAGTATTTATCAATATACTGCTGGGCTTAACCGGGGAAAGTTGCCAAACGGTTTGGCGACTTCCCGCTACACCTGCAAAATCAGTAAATTTCACAAACAACCAGATACATACCATTACAAAACATACAAAACACCTTCTCACAAAACATACAAAACACCAAATACATACCAGATGCACATAACATACAAAAAAGAAGAGAATTACAATGATAAACAACAAAACACCTGCTCACAAACATAGTATAAAAACATAGTACATGTAACACCGTCCCCGGGTATATTTACCTTTAAGTAAACTTTGTATTGAACCTTGAGAAATGAGTAATGAATTTACAAGGTTGTAAATTTTTGTTACCCCCTCCGTCCCAAATTGTTTTGCAAAGTCAACAATTTTTGGTCAACCAATACTAAAAGTCAATGCTCTTTACCAATAATTAATTCAATTTTTAATAATTGAAATTTATGTATTCAGAAACTACATTAAAATCTTTTCAAAGTTGTAAACTCCAAATTAGAATATAATTAAAAAACGACATCCTAATTAAGCGAATAAAATGAAACTGTTTGACCAAGAAAAGTCAAATTCAAAAATCAATTTGGGTCGTAAATTGGTTATACGTTTTCGTACAGACGCACATGGTTGGGCAAACAAAAGGCCATTGCTGAGTTTTTTGGAGGTTGGGAGAAGTCATATTTTGAATTGCCCCATTTCATGACAGCGCTCCAACATTCCAATCCGGGGACAATTGTGCACTGGTACCCACCCCTTTGTAGGTCCCACTGAGTGTGTCCATTTTCATAGACTTTTGGGCATTCAAGCCTTCTATTCATGGTTTTAAGCATCGTCGACCGATTTTGACTATAGATGGCGCACACCTGTATGGAAAATACAAGGGTACATTACTCGTGGCTATGAGTAGCGATACAAACAACCAACTCTTTCATGTGGCCTTTGCAGTATCAGTTCCATGGCTATCCAAAATGGATGCACCATTGTGCAAATACCTCCCATCCTCCTCTACAACCATGTCCAGAACAACGTCATTTGAGGAGGTTGCTTCATTGTCACCATGCCTAGATACAACAACATTTGATGTTGAGGGAGTTATGGAAGCGTCACCTATGGAGTCTGCAATGTATATCTCCATTGTGGACATAGTCATCATCTGAACCATCATCCACATTCCCGCGACAGCTTCCTCACCGTTAAGTGGCATAAGCATGTATGATTCCCCGTGAAGGTGATTTTTCACTTTCACTTGCAAAGAATGGCTCGGAGGAATCTGTGTAGTTACATGTATTTTTTGCATCATCTCAAGTAAACATGCGCCACGAGAAACAACTACAATTCTTCTGCTACCACTTTCATAGCGTATTTCCACTGCTTCCTCAAATAAGTTCCCTCTCCAAACGACACACGATTGGAAAGTTGGAGAAATTCATATTCTAATAACAATACATGTCAATAATTCATGAGTACACATTAATATACACACTTTATACACCCAAATTCAACATTTCATATATACACTTTAAGCAAAATAACATACACACCATTACCATCTTTATACACATTCCATATACACACTTTATATGCATTTCATATACTATTATGATATAATTATTACACTTAAAAAACCAAAACATTAAATTTATATCCACATTAAAATTCAACATGTCATACATATCCACATTAAACAACAAATCAATTCCTAATTTACAATTCTTGTAATTTATCAATTCTAAACCCTAAGTTGAAGAAATTGATATAAAATGGAGATTTCATTAACATGGGGGAAATAATGTTGAAGAAGATGGATATGGTGTGTCCTTTGTGGGTGGAGCTCGAAGAAACGCCGCTGCAGAAGCTTGGAGCTCGAAGAATTGCTGGACCTGTTTTTTTGGGGAACTTTCGTTCTATCTGTCGAATGGTGGGCGACCCGTCTGTTTTAAAAACAAAGTCGTCAAAATCGTTTGGCGACTTTGCCTAACCTGGATTAGGCCCAACAGTATATCCGTAAATACTTTTAACCTGACCACAATTACGTAAATATTTATTTAAATCATATTAATTCGGAAAAAAACTCCAAATTTAATCTTAAAATTATTTCTCTCTCCTTATTTTTTTCGTAATATTAAGGTCATTAGAGCATCTCTAATGCTACAATGTGCACGGTGCACATGTGGCATGAGAGAGATAAACAAAAAAATGAATTTATGACACTTCTCTCTCATTCTTTCCACGGTTTTATGTGTTTTTGGTTAGTTTTCCTCTGCAATGTCAAGCACAATGTCTACATCTAGACATTATGCTTGACATTGTGAAGAAAAACTTACCAAAATGATACAAGATTCTTCAAATAAGGAGAGAGATATTCTATTTATTATTTTTTAATTGGCTATCTCTGATGCCACATATGCACCGTTCACGTTTTAGCATTGAAGATACTCTTATAATTGCAACTTTGCTATAGGTACCCCATTTTGTATCTCACTCTGTTAATGTGACTCACAAAAGTCTAACACATTAAATGAATTGTTCCATTTTAATGAAGTGCATTTTGTGAGTACAAATTGGGGTAGAAAATGGGTAACATCTTTGTTATAAACGGGCCGGTGTAGATGAGTTTTTTAGAGTCGCTGATTTGTCGTGCGCATTGCTGCCATTGCAACCCAAATTCCGTGACGGCAACTCAACCCTAATTGCTGTGTCTGGGGCTGTCGATTCAGACGAAACCAAAGAAGCGGATATTTGCTCAAATCGAAAGCTTTGATAATTTCAATCGGTTTCTTACTCCCATTCAGTTATCGGCGAGATTGGATTCCAGAAGCGCGAAGAGGTAAAGAGAAGGGGCAGATAAAGGATGGGGAAGAAAAAGAAGAGGACATCAGATAAGGTATGGTGCTACTACTGCGACCGAGAGTTTGATGATGAGAAGATTCTGGTGCAGCACCAGAAGGCCAAGCACTTCAAGTGTCATGTCTGCCAGAAGAAGCTGTCTACTGCCGGCGGCATGGCCATCCACGTCCTCCAGGTCCACAAAGAGTCCGTCACAAAGTCCGTAATTCACATTAAAGCACTTCATTTTATTGACTATAACATTGCTCCATATGTGCATGTTTAAAGCTCTTGGGAATTTGAGTAACATTTAACCGTTACCAAAGAGTTTTAGTAACCCAACCAAGGATGAATGGAAGATAATTTTTTGGGCACAAAGTAGACGAAATTGGGACACTGCATTAAGAATTGTCATTAGGTATTCTGGTCACAACTGAAACTAAATTCCAGCTTTTTAGAAAAACTAATCATTTGGTTAATGGAAATTAACCAATAGCTAATTAAACCTTAGTAGCCTCCCAAACATCAGCTGCAGCAGCTATGATCAGTTGGTGGCTCCTTCAGAAACTATCATGTGGGCAGATGATGATTTAACAATTAGGACGTTCATATTTAGTTGAATTGAACATTTAGTTGTAATATATGTAGTATTGTTTAAGCGGGTTTTCTGCAAGGTCTCTAGTTACACAACTCCCACCTAAAAAGAAGAAACTGGAGTAGCTCATAGTCTGTTGGACTTTTGGTTTGTTCTTTCATGGATATCTTATATAAATTGTATTGGGCTTTAATTATAATCGATTGATTATAAAGATGTTTTTACTTGGGCTGTGTAATTTGCTGGTCTGGTCTGATTTGGTTTGGTTCCTTTGTAGTTTTATAACTATCCAAGTCTGGTGTGATATGGTCTGGTCTGGGACGAATTACAGTCCAAGTAAAAACATCCTAAGTTATTAAGTTCACCTTAGAGTGACACGAGCGTTTCTCATGATACATATTCTCATTGTTAGTATTATTATTAGTTTGTAGTAGTTTCATAGCAGTATTGATTTATGTTATTTCCTTATTCAGTTTTAGTCATCTACTTATTAGTGTAGTTTTATGTATTCATTATGAATAGGCCTCTTGTGGTATTCACACAAGGGCCATTTGTATTACTCCCTTCGGTTTTTAATAAACTTCACACTTTCCTTTTTGGGACGGTCTAAAATAAACTTCACACTTCCTTATTTCCTTTTTTGGAAAAGAAATCTACATCAAAACATTGCCAAACAGTGTCAAACAGCGTCTCAACAGTGTACAATGTACTCTACAGTAAAGTCAAATTTCTTTCCTTATTTTGTGTGAAGTCAAAGTGTGAAGTTTAATAAAAACCGGAGGGAGTATTTAATTAATTTGACCCCCGAATCGGTAGCACCCACACATAAAACTCCACTTCAGATGGCTTCATAATCTCATATCTTCTGCTGCTGCGAGAAAAGCGAAAGTCAAATGCTTCATAAAATATGAAAACATTGTGGCCTTGTTGCAATAACCACCCGTCACCCTCCTGGTCCCTCATCACCCATGCGTCCACCTTGTCATGTCTGCTAATACTGTCACTTAGCTGCTTTATGTTTTATCGGTGCACACTTTTTTCTTGTGGTACTTCAAGAATGCAAGCATTGGAGACCAGATGATTACGGCGAGGAAATGCTGCACTGGCAAAGTAGTCAAAATCGTAAAGATCACCAAGGTGCTAGAGTCTTATACCGTATGTGGTACAAAGAGCAAAAAAGCGCACTCTTGACTCATGCAAGGGACAATTTTGAAAAGATCATCTATACTACTTAAGATTTCTTACATCATATTTTTGAGAAATAATTACATATTTATGACTAAAATAAATATTGTTTACAAAAATGAGACTAGTGACTAGAGAGTAGTAATGAAACCATAGTAACTTATGTTTAATTTTTAAACTTAAGTTACCATGACACTACATTGTAGTAAACTAGTAACTATTAGTCATATTTGTGTACATAAGTTTTACTTTAGTAATATTTTTGAAAAAATCCCTCAAAAAACAAAGTCATGATTTGCAAAAATGAATCACCAAATTCATTACTCATAACTTAAATAACAATTAATAAAACTAAAATTGCAGTTTGTTTCCTATCATCTTTACATTCTACTAGTAGATATGACATAGTTCCTAGTAGATCTCACAGGTCTCTTGCTATTCTGCTAGCATCACCCCATGTCAAGCACCAGCTTCATCATCATTTAAGGAAAGAAAATTGCCAAGAACTTCAAAATTGTCCCTAATGTAGTAATGTTACTCAAGTCCCTGCACCATGTCATACTGTCTTGTGTCTATGGTTTTGACATTATGCCTTATTACTTGGACAGTATGACCCGCTGATGTCTAAATATGAATATGGGTTTCTGGAAAATTATTCACAAGTCATCGTGATAAGAAAATTCAGATTAAAATCCTTATCCGGTCTAGGAACTTCGTGCACTTTTTCAACACCTGACACAGGTAACTCTTAAAGCGCACACACTTAGTGTAGTGCCTTGGATGGTGCTCTTAAGCTCTCAAGTGCTCATTTTGACTACCCTGTGCACTGGTATTCCAATTCCCTAAATGGAAAATAAAGATTACTGTCCATCACATCATTCAAAGTAGTCACTTGATTATTGGTTCCCTACTTCCCTGATGATGCCATTTCATCTCGGAAAGACGTAGCATTCCATATTTACTCTTCTTTAAAGCGTCAGGGCAAGTTTGATGTCCACTAGAGGACTAATGATACAGGCAAGCTTGATCAAAATTACTGTTAATTAAATAATTAAATAATATCCTCGTCATCATCATTACTATTGGTCAGTAGTTGTTTCTTATCAGCTTCTTATTAGTCTATAGCTATATGAAGGTCTCTAATATTGTATTATGAGTTTCCTAACCTTCCTTTGAAAATTAACTCTTGTGCGTCTTGACAAGATTAGGCACACATTAATTCTGGCTTAAACCTATGCTAATTCCCCTTCTCTCCCGTTCTCTTTTCCCTAGATCTGAAAAGAGTTTCCAAACACACTCATAACAGAAGCACAAAAACTTCTGACAGCTCACCTTTAGTTTTTTCAGAAACATCAGGGAAACTCGATTACTTCAAATTCCCATTTTGGGCCATTTGCGTAAACAAAAAGAACTTGGAAACCCTTTTTCCAAATTAGTTATTTTTTCAAACATTTGAGTTTTTTATATTTTCCTTTCAACGGGATTGCATGATGGAGATAAATGCATGTCGAGGGAACTATAATGGATTTTTTGATTGGATTTTTCATAGCAATTTTGTGATATTTCATAGCACAATAGTTAACTACAAATGTATTGTATTTTAGTTTTAATTGTGTACTAATATGCAATAATTTCTATATTTGAACATGTAGACGGTTTTTACTTTTTATCATTGATTATTTACTTATTTTTTATAAAAAAATATGCATACATAAAGGGCAGCCTGGTGCACATTGGTATCCCTGCAAGGCGAAGGTTCAGGGAAGGGTACCACCACTAGGATGTAAAGCGGACAAGCCTTTCCTTGTCATATTGACAAGAGGCCGCTCCCAAGACTTGAACCCTAGGACTGTTCAGTCACACGGGGCAACCCAGTAACTGGTGTGCCAACGCTCTCCTTTACATATGCGCGCGCGCGCACACACACATATTAAAAGTTATGTTTACACTAAAAAATTATGTTTACACATACATGAACATATATACATAAATGTATCCTTGTATTTTAAATATTTATGTTGTCAGCATTTTTGTGTATCTGTGCTACGTAGAAGGTGGAATATATTACCAATGGTAGTGCATCATGTTGGTTTCTAGTGCTAATACAGTTGTTGAATGATCATATATTCAGGGTGCCAAATGCAAAAGCTGGCAGGGAATCAACAGATATTGAAATATACGGAATGCAAGGTATCCCGCCAGATGTTTTGGCTGCTCACTATGGAGAAGAAGGTATGTGTCCGTGCAATTTTTAATCAACCTATAAATTGCACCTGCACACTTTCCTCCTAGGATATGATACATGGTCTGACCTTCGAACACTTAAATGTAGAAGCATAGTTACATATTTGATAAAATTCTTATATTCTCGTACTTTTTGATATATACTATTTATAATAGCGGTAATTATATTTATCAATGGTAATTATATTCATTCATAATTTAGTAGTTATAATAACATCCATTTGAAGTTTCTTTTTGACATTTTAACTTAACCAAATACAAAACTAGGCTACACGTCCACATATAGAATGAATTCGCATCTCAGTGCATAAATAAATGTCTAATGCAATACATTTCCGGCAAAAAAATACATTGTGAAAATCGCAGTGTGTGTTTTTGCAAAAAAATACCAGCAACTACGTCTGAAATGTCAAGAGATTTCTTGTAAATAACTATTATTCTTCAAGAAACATCTCATCAATCAGTGAAAGAAATTGTTCCATCTGAAGCAGTCTCCACATTATAGAGAGTAGAGACAAAGGAAGTCTCATGAATAAGGAAAAGGTGTCAAATACTTTTTTTGTCGCATAGGGAGACACATGTCGCTATGAAGCAGCAGCAGACTCGCAAGAGTATCTGCTTATGTCATTATGAAGCAGTCAAGCAGTTGCCGATGAGGGGACACTAGGCAGTGAAGGACACAATGGAGCAATCTAACTTAATCCAAAGGTTAGAGTTTTGTATCCGGGGATCCAGGATTGCTGAAACACACATTAATTAGGGATGCGAATTTTTGAATTCATTAATTGTAGATACATAAATTTGAAGTTCCTGAGTTTCCAACACGTTCCTGAGCATCCGATATGTCAAAACGTATCTGAGCGCCTGATAATCAAAATGCGTTGTTTCCATGCGTCTATGTTTTCTTCTTTGATCCATATATTTTAGACTTAGGTTTATTTTGCATTTCTCAGATATTTGGTGTTTGCTGTGTTGTGTACAAAACACATACGTAATATTTATGAAAATCCCAGTTTGAATTTTATTTCTTTAGATATGTCTCTTGGGTTCATGCACTAATTGATCTCTAAATATACTCGGGAAGAAGTCTGATCATAGTTTGCTGTGTTGCAGAGGAAGGGGCTCCTTTAAAAGCAGCCAAAGCAGATGTTTCGGCACCGCAGTATGTTGGAGGTGTTGTTCCAGGGGCATTGCCTGCTGCTTATCCTCCCCTAGGCACAGTTCGACCTCTGTATGTTCTATAATTTTTTAAGCATCTCATGGCATTCAGTAAACACAACATTTGTATTTGATGTTTGCATCATATTTTTATTAATGCCCATTGGTTTCTTAGTATACTGAGATAGCTTGTTCCAGTAAAAAGCAAATATGGTTGTAGCTAGTAGCTACTAGCAAAAAAGTAATATTTACTTCTGTGAGATTGGTTTGTCACTTTGTCCTCTACCTGTGTTCTGTAAGTAGAGTGGCTGATCTTTTTGATCGAGTTCCCTGCATTGTAATGTTCTTGTCACATCGATGTGAAATTACTATTGTTGTGTATTAATGTGCACTCTGCACCTAGGAGTATTCTCCCTCCGTCCCAAAGGTTTGTTGTTTGTCTTGGCACACTTATATAATACTACATCTGTCCCTCTAAGATTAGGACAAGAGGGAGTGACACGGTTATTAATAATGACCTACTCAAATATTATCAAATATGGTATGACTTATGAGATAAACTTAATGGGACCGACGGAAAAGATAAAATGGGACAAAGATAGGGGGATTGGGGGAGTATTAAAGTTTGTGTGGCTGAGATGAATCCTGACAAGAAGAGAAGTAATGCAAACTAATTTTTGTTTATGGAAACAAAAACCTAATTTTAGGACCAAGAGGAAAGGAAAACAAAAACATTATTTTGGGATAGAGAGAGTAGTATTTATAACTCTATATAAAGAAATCATGCAATGTTTTTCTCTAAGGAGGACCACATTGTTGTAATGTGATATGATTTTTATGCATCGACCAGTTTTTTACACCCTTCATGTTTTTCTTTTCTTTGCTTCAACCGTGGCAGCTGGGAACACTCGCCCTCCTGTTTATGTGGGAAGTCTTAGTATTTTGATACAGAAATTAGTATCTAACTACCATATGTTGGCTGAGCTATTGCAGGTATAATACTGGTGTTCCTATGCCTCGTGCTGGTTGGGCTGCACCACCACGACCTCAGCTGTGGTATCAACAGTATCCTGCTGTCTCCGTTCCCCCACCCCCACCTATGAGCTTGCCACAACAGCCCTTGTTTCCTGTCCAGAATGTTAGGCTACCCGTGCCATCAAATGCATCTCCTACCACCATTCAACCTTCATTTGCAATCACCCCTCCAGGAATGCAGGCATCTACTTCTGCTTCTACAGTCTCTCAACCCTTGTTCCCTGTTGTTCTTCCAAATGTTAATCCTCAGAGCTCACCATTTTCTGCACCTAAACTCCCAACAAGCTCTTCGTCTGAAGTGCAGAGTGCTGTTAACTCGAACCTTCCCAGTAGTACTCTTGCAGTAAATGGCTATCAGGCTGCAGGCGTTCAAGGTCTTAATTTTTATTTCTTTAATTGGGTTGTGTGTTAGGTTTATTTCATGTTAGCCGACCCCAAAATCTTGTGGGAATAAGGCTTAGATGTTGTTGTTGTTGGTGTGTTAGCTTTATTTCTTAAACAAATGTGGGTTCTAACTTCTTTTGGCATTGAGCCTTTGACATCATATTATTATTAACTTCCAAGTATTTAAGCCAATTTATGACGTAAAAATTGGAAGGCTTCAGTGCATCCCTTAGGACTGTTAATATATCTATTAAAACATTTTCCCACATGAGTTTGACTTTAGAGACTCTTCTGTTGGGGGTTAGTTTGTAATTGTGTTGTTGGCTTAACTTTTTCTTTATCAGCATAATGACTCATTGACTTCATTCTTCTACACCCTACTTTTAGTGTATCTGCATGATTTGCAGTGTGTGAAAAAGTGTTTGCATTCTTCAGGCTTTTTTCGAGTACAGGTTTGAGCTTTCAAGTTGGTTTGATGTAATAATTCATTTATTGCAGCTGCAGCACCGCTGAATTCACATTCTTATGCTTCTGGACCTAACACAAGTGGGCCTTCAATCGGACCACCTCCTGTAATAGCTAATAAAGCTCCTGTCTCTCAGCCAACAACAAATGAAGTCTACCTGGTTTGGGATGATGAAGCTATGTCCATGGTAAGTAGACTTGATGCATTGTGCTTTGACATTGTTTTATTTAAAAATCCATCTCTCATTTCACTGTGCTTTGTAATATTTGTAGGAAGAACGAAGGATGTCTCTGCCAAAGTATCAGGTGCATGATGTTACTAGCCAGGTAAGTACCATTTAATGTGGTTATGCTATATGATTTGCACTCCTGTCCGGACGGATAGTAATTGTATTCCACTTAACCTCATTCGCTTGTTTACCGTTGTTCATGTTCATAAAGCAAGTTTGTAAGTGATTCCATTCTCTTTCATCTCTTTCCATATTTCAGTACACTCTGTTTGATAAGCTTACACGGATAGGAGTTACCGTCTGTGTAACTAACTACAAGTGTTATGAACTCTTTACAAACTTAATCCATGCCGCCCTTGAGAAATGAATATACCCTAATAACAATTACTTATGCTTGCATGTAAACGGATTTAAGTGCTATTGTTTTCCTAATTTTTTGCCTATGACTTAATCTTATTTTAACTAGACCAAACCATAAACATTCATATCATCATATCATAATACTGCTGCTTAATAATAGTTGCAGCGACTTTTATGCTATTCATACTCTACTTTGACCACAATTTATATATAAATGCATTTGAATTTTTATTTATGAAAAATCTTAGTAAATTTGTTTCATTGTAAATTAAAAAAAATATTTTTATAATTCTTTTAATAGCCAATTAATTAATTAAATATATTAATAATTAAAGTCATGTGTTGGAAAACCTGAAAGCCAAACTGTTGCAACTAAATAGGAACAAAGGAAGTATCAGACAATGAAGTTAGAGAATATCAGAAAGCCACTGGACCTCATGAAATTCACATCAGATCACATTCTATAGGACAAGATAATAGGTCCTAAGTTGTTACCTAGAAACTTTTAATGATTTCTGTAACGGTAACCTATTCATTCCTAAATCTCTCCCTACAAAATTTTTCAATAAAAAATGAAATAGAAGTTAGTGTTAGTGGTATGATAATCATCATATTTTAGCAACCAATCTACATTATTTACTATTCAGCCCTCTTGACTGTGAGCTATATTACTATCTCTTTTAATTCTTTGACATTCTCCAATTGGCTAGCAATCTCCACACTTTTATGGCCATCAGTGATTCAAGTACGTACTTTCATTATGATCCTTTTGCTAATAATTATATAATGATCTGGCAAGTATGCCGAGGAATCCTCAACATTCGAACAAAGTTGAAGTTTCTCACAAGTATGCTCTTTGTATTTTTATGTTATACAATCTGGGTGGAAGAACATACCCTAAAGATATTTGTGCATGCCTATTCTGTTGTTAAAATAAGGATAATAGTGGTCGAACAGTGGCTCAAAACTTTGGCCCAGGTCAGATTCTTTTTGCAGATTTGTTATTGAAGCGGTCTGGTATTTGACTGGTTCATCACGCTAATTGCTAGTTGATTATTAAATCAAGTTCTAATTTCATGCTTTGGTTTGCCCCATTTTTCCCCAGATGAGCTCGATAGATGCAGCAATTGACCGGAGAATATCAGAGAGCAGGCTGGCCGGACGAATGGCTTTTTAAGACTCATTATATTCATTGACTCTCTTTGAATGCAAGGTTCTTTGCGTCTCATGGCAAGTTCGAGCTAATGTATCTGCTGGTCAGTGGTCACGCATAACAACCCCAATACAATTTTATAGGTGTTCCATGGATTGCATCTTCTGCTCTTGCAATGATATCTGGTAAAGACCATTTATGGGTCCTTGGACCTACTTAGCATGTATTACAACGGCGTGGTGTAGCCAAGGGTTATATTTCCTTTGAAATTTACATTCAATTATTATACCATCTGAAAATTAAAGTATGCTTGTTGTACTTCTAAAGTAAAAAAGTAAACTACTCCGTGGATGGCTGATTGATTGGATTATTTTTTTATTTCTCGATTAAGATGCTAGCTATTGATTATCAACAGGGATCTCGAAGATGAAAATGTCAAAAATATACTGAAAACCATTAACCTGAGTGTTCGTTTGGCAGTTTATACATAAAAGTATAAAACTAGGGGTGAGCAATTTGGTTTACGGTTCGATTTTTTTTGGTTTGGCGGTTTGGGAGAATTTGTAACAAACTAAAACAATTTGTTTTTCGGATCTGGTTCGGTTCCGTTTGAAGTTCTGTTTACCAAATAAAAAGTATTAGGTTCAATTTAGTTCGATTTGATTTGGTTTCTTGTTCGATTGTATTTCTTGATCAAGTTCTATATTTTAGAATTAGAAAATGAAAGTAATAAAATATTATAAATTAAAATTTCTAACATCTTTTTCATCACTTTATAAAGATCCATGTCTTTCAAAAAATAAATTTATACTCGATTAGCATTTATTCAAATGATGAATCATGTAAAAAATATTAATGCAATTTGCTATTGTTACACCAAACATCTTTTCATACATGTAGAGTACAAAACATATCAAATAGAGAAAACAGACAAATAAGCGCTTGAACTATTTGTGTTTTTGCAATTAAGTTCCTGAATCAGAAGAATTACAAACACATCTCTCAACTCATTGAAAATCAAGTAATCATGTCCTTTTTTATTTGCTGATGTTGGTAGTTTCTCATCTCCTTATCTGTATCAGTAGATAAAAAAGGACCCGAGTGCTTGATTTTTAATGAGTTGATGAGTGTATTTGTAATTCTTCCGGTTCAGAGGCCTGATTGCAAAAAACGCAAATAGTTCGAGAGCTTATTTGCCTGTTTTCTCTATCAAATATAAATATTTCGTATTTGTTAACTTTGTCATAATGAAAGTATGAAATAGGGCTGGACTCGGCCGGTTCGGGCCTGGGCCCAGCCGGGCCTCGGGCCAGAAAACTGGGGCCCGAGCCCGAACCGCCGGTGGCCGGTTCCAAGCCGGGCCAAACCGGTCCATTTTTTTTTGGTTCTCCTATTTAACCCCCTCCCCCTCAACCCCAAACCACCTCAAATGGCCCAAAATACCTAATCCAATCCAAAACTTAAAAAAATTTCAAAAAAAAAAAAAAAATCCGGCCCGGACCGGAACTGGCCGGGCCGGTTCACCTAATGCAGGGCCCGAGCCTGGACCGCCCATCACCCGGGCCGGGCCAAACCGAACCGATGGACCCACCGGGCCCCGGGCCGGGCCGGGCCAAACAGTAACCGGGCCGGGTCGGTTCCGGGTCAGGCCGCCCGGCCCGAGTCCACCCCTAGTATGAAATGTGTAAAAATTAAAATGATGGTATATGCTAAATATGTATTTTTCATATCTAAATTATTTCTTTAAATATTAAAAATGAAGAGTAAAGATAAATACAAATTGTGTGTGTGTATAATATTAATGTATATTATAATATATACTACGTACTAGTATAATATTACGTGTTTATTACTTTGAAAATGAAATAATAAACGCGAAGAAGGGAAACTAATCCGAAAAATATATAAAAATGAAAATGAAATAACAAACGGGAAGAAGAAAAAGAAAGAAGAATAGAATACATAAACATTGAAAAAACAAAAAAAAACATGAAAAGTAATAAGAATAAGAAGATCAAAAAGGAGAATAAAAGAGTCAAGATGATAAAAATAAAAAGGAAAAATTTTAGGAAGAAAAAAGAAAAATGATATATGGGATCGCTTGAAGAAAATTTGTGAAAGGTGGGATTTATGAGTGAATGATTTGCAAAGAAAAATGAAAAAAAAATCTAGAAAAATAGGTCATCAACCAGTCAGAGATCAGCGAATGAAGATGAGCTGAAAAGGTTGAATTATTAATGAATAACGATAAGGTTGAATTATTGTAAGAATACCGCTAAAGGGACTACGGCCTTTTAGGCCGCGGAAGTTTGAGGCAATAACAGGTCTGTGATGCCCTTAGATGTTCTGGGCCGCACGCGCGCTACACTGATGTATTCAACGAGCATATAGCCTTGGCCGATAGGCCCGGGTAATCTTTGAAATTTCATCGTGATGGGGATAGATCATTGCAATTGTTGGTCTTCAACGAAGAATTCCAAGTAAGCGCGAGTCATCAGCTCGCGTTGACTACGTCCCTGCCCTTTGTTCGCACCGCTCGTCGCCCTTTGTTCACAACACGCTTGACTTATATTATTATTTACAATCTTAGTTTTTTTTCTTTCAAAAGTTCAAAAGTTGAAAAACGTGATAGAGAGCCGGCCCTAGGGGAAACCCTAGGCGGCCATCCCCAACCCTCTTCAAGATCCGATTTTGGAAGATAAAGACATTTTCTATGCAATGAAAGATCGAATCAAAGGTTTTTCTATGCTTTCGCTCTTTTTCAATTTCTATTTTCAAGGAATTTGGTCTGGCTTCTTCATTGGCCGAGAATGTTGTCCGCTTCATGTGAGCGTGTGATATGTTATTCTCCTAGCAATGTCTAGAGGCTGTGCATTTCTAATCAGTGTAATCGATCTGGTGAAGCTTTTTCAACCTTGTTGTTTTGATGTTTCAAATACTCGCCCACCACCTGAACCACCGCCTCACTGTGGGAAGATGATGATGATCAAGCGGATATCCTTTTCGGTGGCCGGTCAAATCGATGCTTCAAGAAATTTCTACTCGACTGATTTCCCTTTGTTGGTTACTGGTCAAACCAATTCTCCCTTTCCGATGGCTGGTGAAGCCAAATCTTTTAGTTGTAATTTTTTAATTTCTCTTTGGAGAAGCAAGAAGATCAGCAAAGCTGTTAAACTAGACAACATTATTGCGGGGTTAGCGATCTGGAAGGATTCATTGAATCTGTTCCGTTCTATGCCTCATCCCAGTGTAGCCTCAGGCTATTCATTCTCTTATATTTTTGCTATCGCTTAATAATAAATTAGTTATTGATTTTTTTTAAAAAAACCTGTGTTTTCTACTAATATATATATATATATATATATATATATATATATATATATAGGAATGATCCTGTCCAGCAGCCCTAGTTCCGAACGCCGTCCGAACATGGCCATTTGGGGCACTTCCTGGTGGAATTTTTTGATGAAATATTTTGAGCATGTTCCTCATCAAGTCTCGTTTGTCCATACCAAATTACAGCTCAAAATTTGATCGTGAAGGCATTCAAATCATTTTTTGAAGTTGACTGCGTCAAAATATAAATATAAAAATGCAGTCAACTTCAAAAAATGATTTGAATGCCATCCCGATCGAATTTTGAGCTGAAATTTTGTATGGACAAACTAGACTTGATTAGGAACATGCTCAAAAAAATTCTTTGGGAACCGCCCCAAACAACAGTGTTCGGACGGAGGCTCTCGTCCGAACGTTCGGACCTGAACATTCTTGTGTGTGTGTGTGTGTGTCTATATATATATATAGATTTAGGTTCATGTGAGAACTTAATCTTAGGAGAGGAAAAAAGAATAGATATCAACCATTGGATCATCTCATAATTATTAAGCGTGACTAATCTTCCTAGAGGTTAGAAGGGTCATTCTTTTTCTTTCCATCTTAGATCCATTCCGTCATGATAACTTCTTTCCTTCCTAAAATTAAGGATTTAGTTAATATTATTATTTTCTTTGTTTCTTCCTTGATATCTTAACCATTTGTGCGGTTGTACCACCCACCAATCAAGTGATTAATTTGCTCCCTTTTTCCATCTACAATTATTTTGCTTCGTTTAGCTTATTATTGCATAAAGGTGCATTCGGTAAAATATTTGAGTGCATCGTGAAGCAAGAAATGTGCATATAAATTGTATGATAAAAATTCATTTAACATTTGCTAGAAAAGTGCACAATGGCTCACATGCAAATGAACGAGTTAGATTGTCATATTAAAAGTGCAAATCAATATAAATAAAAGTGCACGTAGAGAAGTTTAACACACTTCGATCAAAAGTATGGCTAGTTTTACCAAAAAGTGCAGAAATATATATCAAATAAAAGTATTCTATAAAAGTATTTGAATTTTATAGAACAATCGTAGATCAACTACAAAATGTGTACCTCAATGTTAGAAGTGCACAATAACTCAAATGAAATGCATAATAGAATGATCCACATAAAACATATTTTTAAACATTAAACATATGTAAATATATATTGCACGTTAAATACATTTTGATGCATAATAAATTTTTATATAATGTATATATATCTCATTTCTCCATGCACGTTTACCTTATTTTTGGTGCACTTTAAATTTATTTGGGTGCATACTAAATTTATCAAAAATGCATAATAATATCTTAATGCACTTTCATATTAAATTTTAGTGTACGAAGTCAATACTCATTGTGGGGAGTACTAATTTGAAGGAAAAAAACAAGATAACGTAGTTATTAGAGGGAGTTACTCCTTATTAATTATTACCCTAATTTATAGGATTCCTTTCCTAATATAATGCTACGTGTGTTGAACCTATCTAAATGCAATTTACAATAGTGGCCCTCATTTAATATTGAGTTGAACACCTTCCATATCTACGAACTTAATGATCCGAAAAAAATGCAAATCAACTCCTTTTTGGAATTGTTTTTGGCCGTGAGATTAAGTGAATCGAAGGTTAGATTTTGTTCTTTTTTACTCTCCTAAGAGGGTGTTCTCACAGGAATCGCGCCCTATATATATATATATATATATATATATATATATATATATATATATATATATATATTGGTTCAGGTGAGAAATGCATCTAATGTGAGAAATGAGAATGAATCTCAGCCATTGGATTTACGAAGTTGCACTAAAATTGGCTTTATGTTGCAGTAATATTTAAATTTTGCACATGTTGCACGTACTAAAACGGTTTCATGTTGCACTATTATTTGACGGCGTTGCACCGAAATAGCTTCATGTTGCATTACACACGTGTAATACGGATTTTTCAGAAGTATTTACAGAAATGCCCCCGTGCTAGATTGCATATTTCAGTGCATCATGAAGTGTCTTTTATTGCAACTTAGTCGAATCCAATGGCT